CCCTTTGAGTGGCAGAGAGTGTTGTCTGGGAATGGGGGTCCTTGTTTACATTCTTGTTTCAGGCGACCATATGTTTCACTTTTTTAACCAGTTGTATTGACAGATGTCCAGGTTAAGAGGCTGTATGTATGAATCTCCAGGAAAAGTCAGGCATTTTGAGGAAGTTCCTTGAAGAAACAATTTTTCAAGATACAGGTTTCAGAACTGATGGTGCCTGGGTAGTAAACCTGAGTGCTGAATAAAAGGCTTAAAAAATACTATATTCTCATTGGACGTAAAGCTTAAGGAATTTCAGATAATTATAGATCATTTCTTTAGGTTTTACTTTACTCCTATAGAAAATACTCTATAAAGAAACAATTAATTATTATTCTCATGTCTACAGAATAATTTTTTTTCACTTTATAGTATACATTCTGATTGTACAATTAAAAGAGAGAAAAAAAACGGGAATTGCTAACTCTATTATAGAGAAAAGTATTAGCAAAGACACCCTTGATCATGAATTCCCTAGTAGTGTCAAAGGCATCTATTATTGATCTTGGAATCTTTCGAACAGGTATAACAGATACAGAATACGAGGCTGTTATTTTATTATGTGATTCGTGGAAGTTTCGCTCATCGCTTCACGGTCCCCTCGTATACACAGAGTAAGGAAGTAAGTCCTTTCTCACAGCATCACCCAGGAAAGGGCTTTGTGAACTGCATGCACTGGGATGGGGTGCATGTTGCCGCTTAGCCAAACTCATGTTGCAAGGAACACATGATATGGGGTGATGTCTGGATAGGGAAGTGGTGCGCAGCCCGGCTAAACAGCTCCTTCCTTTACGTCTTTCCTTTTCATCTGTCTGTAACACAATGAAGGAAATTAAAATCAGTGATCGATTGTGTTTGAGTGCATTATCATCAAGACTGAATACATAAACAGTGTACCCAAATGAGAAGCTATTTAATCACGAGCTTTTTTTCTGTGTATCTAACCCAGTGTATCATGGACCAATAACTGACATTTATTCAAAAGAGGAAAAGAAATTCATTTATTCCATTTGAGTGTTCCTCCTGTGCTAATACATTCTGTGTTCCTTAAAGAATTTATTAGGAAAACAGAAGGATTTTTATATATTCAGTGGAAATCATTATCATATAACCCCTTGATTAAGACTACTATTTCAGTTTTCTCCCTTAATATTTGCTGTCAGTTGATTTATTTTAGTTTATAGAGGCTGTGGGTATGAATTCTGACGTTTCAAGTAATGCCAAGAAATTAATTTTCTTCATTAGAAATGGCATAGGGGTGCTATTCCTTTTATTGAATCAGATTATCTCAGTGCATTAGATTTCATTGGGAAATTAGTTTGATTCTCCTAAAATAGTGGGGAGGGGAGTGATCCAAAGCCCTCTAATGATCAGATTTCTTTCCAAGGATCAGCTTATGCCCTGGAATAATTGGCTGATGTATTGCCCATTATTTGGTGAATTACTCATGTGCTCGTGAAGACATTCAGTATTTCTAAATGCGTTATGTTACCGACAGGGACTAAAATGAGCCGGTTGGCATACAGCGGTTGAACTTACAGAATGCAAGATGAACCTGGAGGAAAATTTGAGATTGTTTTTAAAAATAGTCATCCCCCCCCCTCCCACTTTTAAAGTATGTGACTTGATAACTGAAACAGGATTCACTGGCTTAATGAACAAGTATTTATGGTGATCAGTTTGAGGGAGGGGAGCACTCGGCTCTGAGTTTGCAGCGTCTCTTCGGTGGACTGTGGTCGTCCACGGCAGGTGGTTAATTATGTCCTGATATGACAGCCTTTCCCAGAATCCACACAACTGTGGTTTTCCAACCGTCTCCTGAACCACTTTTTTTTCTTAAAGTTCCCATGATGAGGAGCAGCGTTGTGGGTTTGGGTCAGGACCCAAGTACGTTACACAATGTGGAGTCATAGCAGAAACTACTATAAATGTTATATTTTTAAAATAGCTTTTTTCTAATTGGTTCCCACTGTTTTATGACAATTTCATTGAGATATTTTGCTTTGACTTTATATACAAAAACTTTATTGATTTGCAGAGTATTAACTGCAGATGTTCTCAGATTTTTTTAATGGGTAATTTTAACATTTCCAAATAATAATAGCTTGTGTCCTTTTTTGGTCTTTACTTTTATTACATTTCTTTGTCCTGTCTTACTGCACTGGCCAGGATCTCCAGGACACTGGTAAATACAGGCAGTGTCATCAGACACAAAAGCTCTTTCCCCCTTCCTAGCTTTTATAGAAAATATTGATTATGTTTCAACATGAAACATGACGGCATTGATGGTTTTGTTCTAGAGAAACGTATCAGGTTGAAAACGTTGTCTTCTGTTCCCACTTTGGTTATAAAGCTTTTAATAAAGCTATTTATATACATAAATAAAGATATTTATAAAGCTTTTAATATACAGAGACATTGGCTTCTCATATAGTTTGTCTTGCAACTCTGTGACAATCCTGTGGTTTCCCTTCTTCCGTCTGTTAATGTGGTAAATGGCACTGGAAGGCCTTCGCTGTGGCAGCAGCTCTGCGTTACTGGATGAAGTCAGTGCCATTACTCCGTATCCTTGATGTATATGTGCACATGCGTACACACCGGACAACTGAGTTTTCTAACACGTGCCGGAGAACTTCGCACCTGGACTGTTACGGAAGTTGGCAGAGCACCTCTGTGTCACCTGCCTGTGGGGGAAACTGACTGGAAACCACACAGCTGGCCGGGGCGGTGCTCTGTCCGCTCCCAGTGTCTGACGCCGTCTCCGGTGGTAGCTGCAGGCGAGGTAAGGCCGCCAGGGCAGCCGTTCCGGAAGCTCTAACAACAGCGCTCTCAGCAGCAGCAGCAGCAGCAGTGGGGGCAGCAGGGGGACTCAGGTGTCGCAGCTGGTGTGCGCGTGCTCGCGGCTGCAGCTTTCAAGGACAGCAGTAATGGCCTGGCCCTGCAAGAGTAGCTTCCCGAGGCTCCGGCTTAAGGGGCTGGACCTGGACATCTGAAGCCTTGAGGCGCCTGCCCCTGACCTCTGGACGACCCTTTCACTCTCCCAGCTCAAAAGAAGCAGAAACTTCTTGCAGTTATTAATTTTTGAGCAACCCAACCTTTTTATCTTCTGCTCCTAACACCTTTCTAGCTTGATTTTTCTATGAAATATGATAAATAGGACTCACTGGTCAGCCTGTACAGTGTTTATATTTTTAGTTAATTGCAGTTGTGGGTACATTGGGAGAAATCACATAAAAATCCAGTTTCCAGCCTTCCCTTGACGCCGACCCAGCCCCCTGCCAGGCAACAACGGATGTTGGCGGCCCTACCCGGCAGTCCACCAGCTTCCACAGGCAGACGGCTTCCTTTATCGCCCCTCTCCCTGGCCCTGCACACGTTGACATTGACCACAACACTGCAAATGGTCAACAGGCATAGCCAGATTTCCGGGATATTATGTATCTTCTTCACTTACAAAGCAAGATGTATTTTATAAGTTATATAAAGATCACTGACTTAAACTCGAGTTGTAACATGTAGAGCCACCTGTAGCTATCAAATGACAAGAAATTAGACTAATCACATCAGCAGAGTTTTAAAATTGCTTGATAAGAGCAGAGTTTTTGCCATAGTTGTTGGTGTTTTTGTTTTGTTTTGTTTTGCGTGCTCTGTGTTTTAAGGTTTGAGTGAAAAATGACATTATTTGTGCCAGATTCTCAATTCTTTGTAGCTTTGGATTTTTTTTTTCTTCCATGTATATGAATCCTTTGAAGTCACCCAGGGCTGACTGCAAGAGGACTCTTTGTGCAATCCAATCAGGCTAATTTCAATTTTAAGTGCAGGAGACAGGCATGTTTTTCATCGTCTCCTTGTGTAGCTATGATAGATTGGCTAGTGTTGAGTTAGGAAGATTCCCAGGAAAGGACAGTACAAATGCTATCCTAAGCAGCCTGTTAATAAATAGACCTCAAGTCTTTTAAAATCTTCCACTTGCTATTTTATTTTAAGAGTGACGTAAAGACCCACTAAAGCGCAGAACACATTTCCATCTGCAGGTTCATCTGAAAAGCTACCAGTATTTACATTCCCACATGATTCTAATAAAAAGGGAAAGTAAGGAATCCCTGCCTAAAATAATGTACAGTTTGTAAGAGCAAGAACTGGTAAGAGAGAGGGTTTCATGTTAATTTAAATATACCGTCTAAACATATTCCTCTTTTTCTTTACCTATTTAAAATACTTTATAGAACCTCTTTTTCAAGGATTATTGGTAGAATTCAATGAGAGAGGTTCTTAGATAACTAATTGAAATTGTACTTCAGTTATTATCATGTGTGTGTTTGTGTGTTGTTAAGTGTAAAAATATGAAAGCAGGAACCATATTAGACCCAGGGAATAATTAAAGTGTTTCCTAACAATTTTCTTTAATTTACTTTTCATTGCTTGACTTCTTCCAAAAGATGAAAAACGGAAGTATAAAATAATGAACACCAAAAAAAAGGAAAACCAAGTATGTAACTGAAGTCAACATCAATTTTCAATTAAAATCAAGAGAATTAAAAAAAAACTATACTCATCAAAATAATACCTACCTCTTAGCACAATTAACCATGGGCAGTTCTACTGGGTTTATGTTAATTTACTCCTTGAATCCTCATAACTCTTCTGTGTTGAGAGTCACTCAAAATAAAATACCTTTATTATGATTCTCACTTTACAGAAAAGGAAATGGAAGTAAACTGTGTTTTTCCACTCCTTGGAGGTACTTCCTGGTGGAGCAGGACTTTAGCCCAGGCAGTCGGAGTCTGGAGGTTTTCCCACAACACAGTGCTGGGCTTCATTTGCCAGATATATACGTTTACATGTTTATTTACAGACTTTGCTAATGCTTTCTCCATTAGATATGGATATTAAACACATCTTTAGGGGTCTCAGGGCACATTAATTCTATCTAATTCTGTCCAATTCTGTGCCCTCCCCCGCAGGTTACCTTCAGTTTGACTGAAGTACTCTGGGAACTTTGAGGACAGAAGGAGTTTGATGAAGCTTAAGGAGGTGAGGAGGGGTCAGATAAAGCTTCATAGAGCACTGCAGTGGGTATGTAATAATGTCACGGGATATAGAATCAGGGGACAGAAATCTGTTTCATTTCTATATGTTAATATCGACCCAGCACAAAGAGAAATTAAGAAGACAATTCCATTGACAATTGCACCAAACATAATAAATTCCCTAGGCATAAACTTAACCAAGGAGGTGAAAGACACGTACTCTGAAAAGTATAAAACAACGATGTAAGAAATTGAAGGCAACCCAAACAAACGGAAAGACGTTCTATGCCTCATGGGTTGGAAGAACAGATATTGTTAAAATGTCTATATTACCCAAAGCAATCAGTAGATTTACTGCAGTCCCTGTCAAAATACCAACAGCATTTTTCACAGAACTAGAACAAATAATCCTAAAATGTGTATGGACCATGAGACATCCCAAACAGCCAAAGCAATCTTGAAAAAGAAAAACAAAACTGGGAGTATCACAATTCAAATGTGAAGTTATATTACAAACCTGTAAAACTCAAAACAGTATGGTACTGGCACAAAAATAGACACATACATCATTGGAACAGAATAGAAAGCTCAGAAATAAACCCACAATTATATGGCCAATTGACTTTCAACAAAGGAGGGAAGGTTATACAGTGGTAAAAAGTCAGTCCCTTTAACAAATGGTGTTGGGAAAACTGGTCAGCTACATGCAAAAAGAATAAAACTGGACCACTTTCTTAAATCATACGGAATAAGTAAACACAAAATGAATTGAAGATCTAAATGTGAGACCCGAAACCATAAAAATCCTAGAAGAGAGCAGAGAGAGTAACATCTCTGACGTTGGCAATAGCAACAACCTTTCTAGATATATCTCTTGTGGTAAGGGGAATTAAGCAAAAATAAACTATTGGGACTACATCAACAGAGAAGGAAACAATCAGCTAGTTTACAAGGGAACCTACTGAATGGGAGAAAATATTTTCAAGTGACATATCTGATAGAGGGTTAGTATCTAATATTATATATATATATAAACTGATATGTATATATACATAACAAATATATTTATATATATATATATATAAACTGATATAACTCAACATCCAAAAAAACAAATAATCCATTTAAAAATGGGCAGAAGACAAGAATAGACATTTTTCCAAAGAAGACACCCAGGTGGCCAATAGACGCATGAAAAGATGCTCAACATCACTCATCATCAGGGAAATGAAAATCAAAACTACAATGAGATACCACCTCACACCTGTCAGAATGGCTGAAATAAAAAAAAAAAACACACAAGAAACAACAAGACAAAGATGGCAAGGATAAGGATGTGGAGAAAAAGGAACCTTTTTGTGCTCTTGGTGGGAATGCAAACTGAGACAGCCACTGTAGAAAACAGTATGGGTTTCCTCAAGAAGCTGAAAATAGTGGGGCGCCTGGGCGGCTGAGTCAGTTGAGCATCCGACTTCGGCTCAGGTCACAATCTCACGGTTCATGGGTTCGAGCCCCTCATCAGGCTCTGTGCTGACTGCCAGCTCAGAGCCTGGAGCCTGTTTCAGAGTCTGTATCTCCCTCTCTCTCTGACCCTCTCCTGCTCACGCTGCCTTTCTCCCTCTCTCAGAAATAAATAAAACATTTTTTAAACGTTAAAAATAGAAATACCCTAGGATCTAGGAATCACACTACTGGGTATTTGCCCAAGAAATACAAAAATATTAATTCAAATGGTACATGCACCCCAGTGTTTGTTGCAGCATTATTTACAGTAACCAAATTATGGTAGCATCCCAAGTATCCACTGAAAGATGAATGGAAAAAGAAGATGTGGTACGTATACACAATGGAATATTATTCAGCCATAAAAAAGAATGAAATCTTGCTATTTGCAACAACATGGATGAATCTGGATACTATAATGCTAACTGAAATAAGTCAGAGAAAGACAGATACCATATGATTTCACTCATATGTGGAATTTAAGAAACAAAATAAATGAACAAAGGAAAAAAGAGAGAGACAAACCAAGAAACAGGCTGTTAACTATTGAGAACAAGCTTGGTTGCCAGAGGGGAGGTGAGTAAGGGGTGGGGATTAAGCAGGGCACTTTTTCTGAAGAGCACTGGGTGAGAGAGAAAGAGAGAGAGTATGAGAGGGGAAGGTGCAGAGGGAGAGGGAGAGAGACCAAGCAGGCTCTATGCTCAGTGCAGAACTTGATGCGGGGACTCAATCCCACGACTACAAGATCATGACCTGAGCTGAAGTCAGACACTTAGCCAACTGAGCCACCCAGGCGCCCCATTGTTTATTTATTTTGAGAGAGAGAAAGAAAGCAAGAGCAGGAGAGGAAGAGAGAAAGAGAGAATGGGAAGCAGTCTCCAGGCTCTGACCTGTCAGCACAGAGCCCGATGTGGGATGCATACTCATAGTTGTGAGAGCATGGCCTGAGCTGAAGTTGGATGCTTAACCAACTGAGCCATCCAGGCGCCCCACCCCTGTTCCCTTCGTAAATTAAAAAACAAAACAACAACAAAAAAAACATACTGAAGTCCAGGGCACCAGGCTGTCATACCACCTTTCTGCCTACTTCTCTGAGATCCTGAGTCTCTGGGTCACTCTTCTACATACAAGAACTTTAGTGCTTGGTTCATGGACAGGATTTATCCCAATTCCTGTCATTTTCATGGAGGCAGAATTCTTTGACCACTTGATGTCTAACTAGTCCCAACTCCAATCAATGTTTTTCTCCCTCCCTCCCATGATTGTGATCTGGACCTTTTTATCAGCCAGCATTCCCTCGTCTCTGCGATGGCCTAGGCCACCTTCTGTTTCTAGCACTCAATAAAAACTGACCTTGCTAAGGATGCTCTCCATCCAGTCTTCTTCTTCACACTGAAATACTGGCCTTTCTGTTGCACTTCATGCTGCCACCATATCCCTCCTTTCTGAAAGTCTTCTCCTTGGTCTCTCTGACTTCCATTGACTGGGGACAGGAGAGTCTCATTTCCTGTGTAAACTCCAGCAGACCGTCGTGGGGTTTCATTACGCAATTACTAATAGGAATTGCACACCAGTGGATAAGCACCTAATAAAACCGCCGATAGGAAAATCGCTTGGGATGGTGATTTTGTAAAGCATGTATTATGAAAGTGAGAACCGATGCAATTCCAGGGTCCTGCTGTGGTTACAGTACACCAAACATTTATATTCAAAGATACATTTATGTTGGCTTACTAGTGAAATGAATATGAAAAAAATACTTGAAGTGTCTACATCGAGTCGTTATAATCTGTCCTTATGTGCCCAGCTGACAACAATTTTACTGATAAAACAAGTATTTATGTGTGCTCCTTTTTAAAGACACGTCACGTCATATAGATTGTTGAATCATTATTTTTCAATTCGGCGGCACTATAACTACCACCTGAGCAGAGCTTACCCAGCACATGTACCTTCTCTGGAAGGTGCATCACAACCTTCTCGTGCTTAGGAATCCTACCCAGCGCTTCAGCACTGTGCTCGGGGGCCATTTAAACCAGCAAAAGCCCCAGCTGGAAGCACAAAGGAACAAAAACTCTGGCACTAAACAGAGGGTGAAAAGGACAGTTGTTTAGAGTAGGCGTGAAATAAGGCAAAGCGTCATGTTGCTTCCTTTCAGCCGGGAACCCGCCTCCAGGCGTTCAGATGCCCCCAGATGACTGCAGGAGCGCTGAGTGCTGACTTGGAGGCTACAATTAAGTTTTAGATCGTCGGTGAATGTGCAAATATAAGTTGTGTGTATAACGGAGTTTGTAGTGTGTGTGTGTGTGTGTGTGTGTGTGTGTTCCTTAGTGTATTCTCTCAGTTTCTTTTTACTGATAACGGTACATAATAAAGCATAGTTAAGAAGAACTGGCCTGTAGGGGCACCTGGGTGGCTCAGTCGGACAAGCATCTGACTCCTGGTTTCGGCTCAGGTTAAGATCTCAGGGTTAGTGAGTTCAAGCCCTGTGTTGGGCTCTGCGCTGATGATTCAGGGGCTGCTTGGGATTCTCTCCTTCCCTTTCTTTCTCTGTTCCTTCCCCGCTCGCCCTCATTTTCTCTCTCTCTCTCAATGAATCAATAACTTGAAAAAGAAGAACTGACCTGTAGAATAAAACTTAAGCTGTTCTTTCATGCATTTCAGAACTTTAATAATCTAGGCACTACTTGTCTCTTACGACTACGGCTACGACTACTACCACTACTACTACTACTACTATTGCTACCACCACTTGCAAGTTATGAGGTTCGCAATCATTTCTTAGTAATTTTATTTCTCCTTCCAGACAGTAAATTCTTTAAGGGCAGGGGCAAGTTTTTATTCCTCAGCACTCTGTACAATGCATAGCTCACTGCACAGTGTCAATAACCCTCGGAGCTAGCGCGGTCATCATGACATCATTTTTAAGAACACTTCACTGGATCGTACTAGAAAGGAATGCTCTTGCATGTGGAAGAAACCAGTGTGGGAGGGCATGGTTAGAAGTGTCCAATGTCACAGAGAGATTCTGAAGAAACAGAGACTAGGGACAAGCAATGGGATTTGCAGGCCATCACAGCTATCCTTCACGGGGCCCTCTCACAGCCAGGCAGTGGAAGGAAGGAGGTGACCTCAGACATGTCTGTTTGCAAAGCTCAGGTTCTTTCCCTGAGTTTGTGCTGTCTCCATCTTGGAAAGAAGCCTGGAAGCACAGGAAACCAGGTTTGCAATTTGCAGTCTCTTTTGGTGTCTTATATTAGAAGGAGTGGTAGTTCTGTTTGGATACGTGGCTCCGATTCAGCCTATAAAAGTCCTTGGATCTTGGTTCCCAAAAGAAGTCCCAAAGACAATGTAGTTTTCTTTTTTTTTTTTTTTTTTTTAATGTTTATTTTTGAGAGGGGCAGGGTGTAAGCAGTGGAGGGGCAGAGAGAGAGGGAGACCCAGAATCCAAAGTGGGCTCCAAGCTCTGGCCCGTCAGCACAGAGGCCGACACGG